GGATTACATTTTGTGTCAGTTCCATGATTCCATCTGCAATTTCCACATTACAGAAATCATAGGGCCCAACATATCTCAGTCCTATTTATTTTATTTTATGTTTTTACACAMCTGGTAAATTTTTCCACGTACCCCCTGTAATATGCAYGTACCCCTGKTTGGGAATCACTGATCATTATGAAAACACAGTGGTGGTGATTTTTACACTCTGGAAAATGTTTTTAAATAGTTTTGCTTTTCCTTAAATGCCATATCTGAGCAGACATGAGGCTGAAACAATAAATAAAGTTTTGCATTTTTACAAAACCCTTCCTGTGTGGATGACCCTTCTGTTTCTTCAAAATGAACAGTTATCTACAGCAGGTAAGATATTAACTGTTGTGATGTGAGCTRCACCTTTAACTGTAAGAAGTGATATGATGATCTTACTGGTTCTTATTTTCCTGGTGTAGACAGCATTAAAGTCTGCTGTATCAATCTCCCAGGCCAGGAGCGGCTTGGTGTGTCCGGGGGAGACCTCCTGCATGTCACAGTCACCGTCTGGTCCCACAGGGGCCCCTCCAGCCGGGGCTTTGGGCTTCACCAGCAGGGGCCCGTCCTCCTGCTTGTTCGCGTCCACATTTCTGGCCACCTTGGCGGGGCAGTACACGGCGGCAGCCTGGTTGAGGAGGGCGTAGTCGGAGCAGACCGTGTAGAACTTCTCCCGGGAGTGTGTGACCGGGCAGGTCCACTGCAGGTGCAGCTCGGCGCTCGAAGCCCGCCTCATCCTGGCGGCGTCCCGGGCCAGGGAGCTGATCAGCCCGTGCTCCTCCGCTCCCTCGGCCGGCCTCTGCAGCCCCGCCGGCTCCTGCGGCCCGGACAGGGTCGCTCCCTCCGATGAGCTGGGAGCCTTTATGATGGCTGACATATTTGATGATGATGATGGAGATGAAGAGGTGACCGTCTCCTCTGGGGACGGACCGGTTCTGTGACGGACTCCTCACCGACTGAAACGACCAATGTTTGATTTACAGCAGCAATATTTTATATAACATTATTAAACATTACATTAAACCCAGCGCCCCGTTATAAAACAGAAACAGCAGCTGTGTTAGCTAAAGGGCTAAAACATCACCTGAGCCCGCTCCTGTCGTCGAGGTGAACCGCTACACCCTCGCCTCGCTAGCAGATGTAAACACACCCTGCCCTTATTTATTTATGGCCGTTTCAGCCATGTCTGACAAGCACGGAGGTCAGTAAACTTACTAAACGCGAGGCTAACCCTATAACACTCAACACTGGCGAACAAAAATACAAAACGAGTCAAAAGTAACAGATAAACCGACGATAAAACGCCCAGCTGACCTGAATCCTGTTACCAGAGCAGGTTCATCGGACTGTACCAATCTGAGCACGGGGGGAGAACCGAAAACAAAAATGAAAAAAAGGAGGTAATATTCCATGTAAAAACGCAATTTAAGATAATTGATTGACATAAAAATTTAAATTGAGATGTTTTATTTTTTATAGCGCTGATATGAATGRTTTTGCAATTTCTTTCATTTCACTGGGATCATTTCGATCCCCCGCTTTGTGGAACAGTCCATCTTCTCAGCCCAATCACCGCACACACACAGCCCCGTCTCTCTGAACTGCACCGGAAGGTAAGTGTTGCTGTCCAATTTAACTAAACTCTTACTAAACTTTTTCTAACAACTCTACATAAATCAAAATGACTGTGTAATAACAGAATTGCCGTTTCACAGCATTGACAGTTTAAATTGATTTTTATTTTTTATGTTTTTACTGAGTAATGTATGAACAGATTGACAGTCACAGTGGGGTCAGTGTATCTTTTGGTCATTGGAAAGATACACTGACCCACAGGGACTGTTCCCCTCTGTCCTAGTTTATAATAGCATATCTGTGTATTTGTTACACATGGTTGGTTTAGACTAACATTTGATTTTGAACCTGCCTTAAAAAATCCTTTATTCAACCTGAACTTCTCTAACCAAACACAGCAAACTGCTGACACATTGTGTAAAGATAATCAGTTTCCTGTCTGTTATCTAATTTCCACAACAATGAATGATGTTAATATGCTGTCACACAGCCTTGTTTAACTTCCTATTGATTTATCAGTAAAGAATGAATGAAAATCTGTTTATTGTGTGTAGAAAATATAGAACATTGGACTTTCTGTGCTCTTGGTCTGAAAGTACATTAGTAAAAMTTTAAATGAAACATTGTAGCTTGATAATTAACATCGTCTTTGACCAGAATCAAACTCTAAGACGGTGATTCCCAACCAGGGGTATGTGAGCATATTACAGGGAATTACATATAACATGGAAAAATTTCCCCGGTGTGTAAAAAATAAAAATAAAAATAGGACTGAGATATCGTAGGGCCCAATGATTTCTGTAATGTGGAAATTGCAGATGGAATCATGGAACTGACACAAAATGTAATCCAATATATAGGGATGTGGATACATTTTTAATCCTACACCAGTTTTAAATCTGACAGCAGATTCCTAAAGAACATTTCAAACCATACAAAATAACACCAAAATCCTGTGATTATCTCCAGTATCAGGGAAGTTATTGGTGTTTGTTCAGGTGAAATCAGCTCACTTTCTTACTGCAGGTCACAGCAGAACCAATGTGACCATTTCACCTTGTTGTTTTCTATTTTTGCTCATAACTTCCTCAGTGTTCAAGATATCCTCATGAAATTTTAGGAACAGATTCACACTCTGGTTTTGTAGGAAGC